TGGCTGCGGGCGGTGTGTCCCCACGGCCCGGCCCGCTCAAAATGGAGTCGGTGCGTCCGTGGTGTGCCCGGGTGCTGCCTCTGTGTCGAAATGTCTGTTCTCGCGTGGTGGGGCACGGAGGAGAGAGGGCTGCCAGCGGGAGAAGAGTAACGTGGATTAGAAAACCTCAGCAACGCCTTCGAAACTTACATTGCTTGACGTCTTTGACAGGTTATGTGGTAGTCCCTGGGCTCTTCAGAATTCACTTGGGTAATTTTTCTAGGGAACGGCATTGATAGGAATAGTGTATGTATCTTAATAACACAGCGTGTGAATTCTCAGCCGTGTTTGTGTAAACCCATCGGACATCGCACATGGGGAAACCTGTAAAAAGAAATCGAAGTATAAATAGGTTAAGTGAATATGCTCTGGACAGCATAATTAGTAGAACAGAGCTCTGCACGAAGAGGAATAGGTGTTGTGCACACATGTCGTCCCGTGGCGGGCAGTTGTATTGCGCACGGACTTCACCACACGCCGAACTAGTCAGAACTCTGATTAAATTGGAATCCTTGAACTGCATCAAAGTGTGGTGACAGCAGTTGACGTGTGGGTGAGGAAATAACTTGCTGGCTGCAGTTTAACTCTAAACGGTCATTGCAGGAACGCGGCCAGTTCAGGAGAGCACAGTGCTACGTGAAAGCATCTTAGTACTTTAGCATTTTCTGCAGTGCAGGTTGCAAAATGATTTTCCACCATGTTTTATGCTTTTTAAGAAAGTAAAAGGTTTAATATACTAGTTGTTCTAGAAAGCGAGCCTCCTAAATGCTATTTGAAAACACTTTGTGAGAAGCAGAAGTTGGGTACCGTGTTTCGGTACTCTACTTGTGAATCTTTTGTACTTGTAATGCTCGAGAGTTTTTCCCGTGCAATAAGTTCTTCCGATTGGCAGTTTGTTAAGCCAGTGTCCTCTGGAAGTACTAGTCAGATACGGAATTATGGGGTTGTCCCTTGTGAGGTAAACCTGAAGCATGGGCCATGTCTCTGGGCAAGACATGAGAACACAGAGGGTTTTTGGCAGGGCTGACAGTCCATGTTTACCTCCCGATTTTCACATTCATTTTCAAGAAGCACTGCTTTGCTGTGAAAAAAGTATTTTGTGGCTTTTTATAGCACTGAAACAGAGAAAGCCAGGCCTGTTTTTGTAGCAGTGTGTATGAATCACTATAGTAAACACAGTCACTTACCAGTTTGAAAATTTCTATTTTTGTTTGGGGCAGTAGTTCTGACATTATGAAGGTGATGTCCTGGTATCGACAGGGTTTTTTCTGTGCGAATGTATCGCAGTTTAAAACTATTCCCCTGCTCTGTAGAGGTGCAGACAATTTGACTGGTGAATTACCAGTTCAAAGCTTTGTGCTACTAAGAAAAAGAAATAACTTGTATTTTTCATTAGGCTTCACCAGGAGCCAGGTTTTCCTGAGCGCAGGGTGTTGAACTCGAAATTCAAAAGACGTGGATTCTTCCTCCCAGTTCTGCAGCATACCTCCTCTGTGACACTGGCCTGCTCGCTTTCCTTGCTGAGCTTTACTGCTGAAAATGAAACGGTCATCCTTAGTTTGAGAGTCCTTTTCACAGTAAATGTTAGTGAGTTTAGCCCCTGTGTTTCCTCAGGGAGTAAGGATTCCTTAGCAAGCAGCACCTGTCATGCAAACTTTGCATTAAGTACAGCTTGCAAGGTAAGGAAGACATTGTTAATTTGGGTGTGTTGGCTTGGATATCATTACAACTGTAACTTCTTTAGCCCCACCCAAATATGACATTGCTTGTTAGGCAGGAACTTACTACTTTAAAAAAATTCAAAAATTGGCAGCTTTTAATTTAAAAGATAGCTCACAATTCTTGAGTCAGCCTTGGTGGTTTACTTAGTGTTTTTTTCCCTAAATATTCTGGCAAGAAAACAGTATAACAAAGGAGTAATGTGTTTGTCCAGATCTTTCTAAAGAAGGGTAAACAGGCCTGAGTGGAAAACAAAACTGTATTTAAGATCCTTCACATATCTTAGTGAAGAAGATAATGCCCATGGGAAGTTTTTATTTTAAAAAAAGCCACTTTCAGAAGGCGTAGTGAGCAAGGTGTTTTCTTAAGCTGTTTTAAGTAAGTGCACAGTGAGGTGAGTCTTTGTCAGGGAGTGTGTGTGGGACTGCGAGGGCTGGCGTGGATGAATACACTGTTTAGTTACTGACCAGTACCTACTGTACTGGGCCGCCTTCTTGTTGGGATGCTGGTGACACCTGGCTGGGCGAGGGTGGCCCTGCCCTCGGTCCTACTGCTGCCCAAGAAGTTTCCAAGAAGAGCGCAGAGGGATGAAGCGGGGTGGCTATCACAGGGACTTGAGTCCAGCGTGGTGAGGCTGGCTTCGTTTTGGTGCGGATCAAAATCAAAAGCACTTGCTTTACCTGAAAAACACCTTTTGGAGGGAATAAAAGGTCTTGCTTATCTTGATCCTTGTTTGAAAGTTGACTCTATCATTCTGACACGGATTACTAATGTATTGTGTGCTCTGACAGGTTTTGTTTCCCACAATATTGTAAGCGTGTTCACTTGTACAAAATACAATTTGATTGAAATGCTGCATTAAAATGTGAATGAGAAGAGTCAAATGATCTACAGTGACTTTTTATAAAGGTATAGTTTCTCAGATTATCTAGTCACAAGGCTAGAAATAAAACTTAAATTCCAGGTTACCTTGGATATTGTTTTACGGTGTTAAGAGTCAGTATCTCTCCCAGAGCAGCTCCGCATTCCGTTGATGTGTTTCGCCTAATGTTTCAGGGATAAGACGCATTGGCAGGAGGCCTGATCAGCAGCAGCAGCAGCAGCAGGGTGAAGGCAAGCCTATTGACAGGAGACCAGAGAGACGACCTCCTCGTGAGCGCCGCTTTGATAAACCTGCTGATGAGAAAGGCGAAGGAGGAGAATTTTCTGTTGATAAGTAAGAATTTTGTCTTGCATGACAAAGAACTTTCCTAGCTTTGATAGGAAGGGACTGTCCTGCTTTCTGCTACAAAGTTAGAAACCAACCAGCTGATTGAACCAAGATTCGATTGATTGAATTCAGTTTTTGTCAGTCACAAGAAGAGCATGTGTCATGCAAACTATACACTTTTCTTTCCTTTTCTGTGATTTTGTTTACAAACTTGACTCAAGTTTTAGGGAGTGATCTAACATAAACAGTTCCATTGGTGTAACTGAAAATACAGTTTAAATCATTATGATGTCCACTGCCTCTCTATAAATGTATAGCAGATAGCTCAGGAAAGGAACTCAAGTACAGCTGTGGCTTAAATCTGTACAGCTGACTTCAAGCCAGTAAAAGTTTGTCCATGTAGGTGTTCACACCTTGGCTGCAGTGGCTTTGAATCTGAAGTGGTGAAGCCATCTTATGTGTAGGCAGGATTTAAAGTGTCTCAAGGATCATGAGGGATCCAGAATTCAAGTGTTCTGAAAGTAACGTTCAAATATTTATTAGCCAAAGTTAAAATGCTTTTAAAAAGGATGAATGTAAGTTAAATTGGAACTGTAGTATCAGTTAGTTATGTAACACAATACAAACACTAAATTTCGGAATTTAGTGCCAGAAGATGCAAACAAACAGTAATGGTGAGTGTTTGTTTCCAGATTCTAAAATGCAGGCATTATGTTTGAGGGTTTTTTCAGTGTAATAGTTTGGCATTGAAATTAGAGCCTCAACACAGTTACACACAGTAATTATCAAAGGAAAAAACGACGTAAATTCTTAAAAGAGAAAAGGAAGACCTTAAAAACCATGCTGTAAATTTTGGAAGTGAAATACTCATGTTTGGCTCTTCCATGCTAGACCCATTCTTGACCGACCTATGCGCGGACGTGGTGGACTTGGAAGAGGACGTGGACGCGGACGTGGAATGGGCAGAGGAGATGGGTTTGACTCTCGTGGCAAACGTGAATTTGACAGACATAGTGGCAGCGATAGATCGTAAGTCTTTAACTTTTTCTATTGTTTTTGGACTATTCTTTACAATTAATACATGTTTTAAAATTTGCCTTTGAATTTCTGTATCTGGACACTATAATGTTAACTCAGTTTTGTTAGTTCTGTTTCACATTCACATTTCAGCGGCCTAAAGCATGAGGACAAGCGTGGTGGCAGTGGATCACACAACTGGGGAACCGTCAAAGACGAGCTAACGTTAGTAATCTGTAATTGCTTAGAAAACTACTAGCAGAATGTTAATAAATCCTAATTCTTAGCGGCTTGCAAAATGTAAAGATTAAGCTGCCTTTTTTGCCTGTGATTTTGGTAATTTTTGCTACACTGTTAAAGCAGCCTTTGCAGAATTTAGAAAATTAGCAATTTTTTGTAACATAAGAGGTGGCTTCGCTGTTAAAAGCAGAGTTTGGGGGGTATTGTGCTGGTTTTTATTCTTTTACTAAAAATAGAACAATTTTAACAATTTTGATCAGGTTAAGCATGCTTTTTTTTTTACTCAAATCTCAAAGTACAGCAGGAGGCTTTCAGAATGGGTGAGTGTTGAGGAAAACCATTAGGCATGTGGAAAGCATAGATTCTAAAAGGCACAGAGAGCACCAATTTGTAATGAAGTAATTTTTTCTAAAGAAGAGTGGGTTGTGTAAATCCACTATATAATTAGTCACGAGTCTTAACATAGCTTTAAATAGGGATGGACTTTTGAAAAACACAACTCCAAACATTATGTAATTGCAGTGAATTGGATCAGTCAGCTGTAACTGAGGAAACGCCAGAGGGAGAGGAACATCCGCCGGCTGATTCTGAAAACAAGTGAGTATCACCCCTCTTGATGTTCTTTGGTTGCTTCGAAGGTAGTATTACTTCACCTTTAACCTAGGATATGTATTCCTGCTTCTGTTTTGCCAAATTTACATTTACTGAAGAAAGTATAATCTGAAATTTTCCATGATGCTGCTGAAAGACTGTCTTTTAAAACTACATGTCTAAACATTCTTACCTTGCAACGGTTCATTAGTGTCATGCAGGCTCTTAGGTCACTTTCAGATTTAGTTATTAATAATCAGTTCTAATACGCTTAAGAGTCTTGGGATTGCAGCTCTTAAGTACCAGATCCAAAAGCATCTGTGCTCATAACTAGGTAGAACAAAGTACTTGTACCAGTGGAAGGCAACTTTTTTTTAAACTTAGTTTTTCAAAACAACTGTTGAGACTGTGTGACTAGCCTGTAGAAGAAAGGTTGTATTTCTTTCTTTCTTCAGCTTCTGTCTATGCAGGCAGTTTTCAAAGAAGTCAACTTGATTCTTCTCATTCCACTTGGATACTGTTACTGAAGAAACCAGGGACTGGATGAGTGAAACAGAGTAACTAGAGAAGCAGAATGAGCAGTTGATGTAAAAACATGACACAAATTTTTATGGTAGCATAGTACAATAAAACATTGTACTTTAATGAGGAATGTGCTTTATGGTGGATTCAAAAGAAAATGGCAGACATAAGTTAGAATTTTGAAATACTTGTTTGCAAGAGATTTGTGGGACAGCAGTATGGAGTTTGCCATAGCTTGATTTCCTCATTCATAACTTTGGTTAGTGGTAAAGAGGGTACAGTTACTGTATAGGGAATAAGAAATGGATTTAGCTTAACTAAAAAAATACTACGTGCTATTACTTCTCCAGGGTTGTGGTGGTCCAAGGTTAAGGTTGTCTTATATACAGAAGTAGTGAGAACTTTTAAGGAATTACAGCTTGGCATTGGTCAGAAAATGCAAGCTAGCTAGTCCTTAAAAAAAAAAAAGTGTGTCTATTCTGGATGTATTAAATTTGCTGTGTCTGCACAACAGACAACAGTTCCTGGATCTTTATTAGTAGGTGTCCTGGTGCTGGACCAGATATGGACCCATCCGTGTGCTGATCAGTTATCTGCAAAACTGTGCAGGCTGTTCGTATGGTTTTTTCTTCCTCAAATCTTCAGAAAATGTGTGCTCTTCTCAGGTTCAAGCATCACACGTCTGTTGTAATCAATCAGTTACCTTTATAGGAAAGCATTTTTACATGGGTTAGTTTTCAAGTTGGCTAGTTTGGTCTGGATTTCTAACCTAAATGTTTCAGCAGAACTGTAGGGTGTTTTACTGCAGTAAAATGTACAGAATGCCAAGGGTAATATCTTCACCTTGAACAAAACAAATGCTTCTGAATACATACCTGTCAAAAATCATTCTGCCCTACAGAAAGAGAAAAAACTGAAATACACTAATTTTGATGTAAAACTGCTGTGTTGTTACATCAAAATTAATGGCTACAAAATGAAGACCTTTTCTCTTTTTAAGTTGAGGCTTTCATGATCTCTTTGCTGCACATCCATGGCACTAGTTTTCTGTAAATCAGAAATTTAGTTGCATAAACACACTGAAGAATCACAAGACAAGAGGACTGACTGCCTCTGTAGTTGGAACATGATCTGTTGCTGAGCATAGTTGTGGTGTGCGTTACTTAAAAATAGCTCTTTGGCAGAAGGTAGAGGCAGCAAAGATTTACAATGAGGCGGTAATACCGCACCAGTAACTAAGTTATATGCTGTTTTTTTGAGTTAGCTAAAAGTAAAAATTGCCTCAGCTGGGAAATTAATAACTGTCTTTGATTCAATAAATAGCAGACTATCCAAAGCTGATTAAATTCCATTTTTTAAAAAAAAACCTAACAAGCTTGAAAATTGTGGTAAGAACAAGCTCCCTCTCCCTGCCTTAAACTTGAACCTTTGGGAGAGAGGTATTTCAAAAAGCGGGGGGAAGCTCCAAATAAGATTGTTGCAGAAGTTGGGCTTTCATATTTGTAAAAAAGATTGACATTAAAGTGGAGAACAGATGGCATGGGTCAGTGTTAACTTCAACGTTTTGCTGTGCTGTGTTTGCCACTTAGTTGCTTAAAGATGTCTGGCTATGACTGGGTGTTTTTGGCATTCTGGGTAAGAGGGTGGTTTTCATGTGTGCTGTGAGTGGTGGAAGTGAGGGGTTTTATATAAACCTCTTAACTGCTAACTACTTGAAACTGTTTTGTTTTTTTTTTTTTCCTGTTACAACAAATTCAAAATCAGTTGTTATCTAGAATGTGAGTTCTAAGTCATGATCATAATATCTGTGAATTCACTACAGAGAGAATGAGGTTGAAGAAGTTAAGGAAGAAGGTCCTAAGGAAATGACCCTGGATGAGTGGAAAGCTATTCAAAGTAAGGATCGTGCAAAAGTTGAATTCAACATCCGTAAACCAAATGAGGGTGCTGATGGGCAATGGAAAAAAGGATTTGTTCTTCACAAGTCAAAGAGCGAGGAGGTAAAGTGATTTTCAATATTTGCTAGTACCAAGATTGCATTGGTTTTTCTACTGATAGGCACTTCTTGGTGTGGAAGCTCTGTTCTTTGAGACATTGACCTGTAGCTAAAAGTTTTATAAAGTGGGAACAATGTTTCTCCTAATAAAACTGAAGTTACTCAGTAGTGTGAGTAGCTGTTCTTACTGTGGTTAGTTTTAGCAGTTGATCTGTGCCTGTGGGTTGGTGTGTGCGGGGATGTAATCTAGAGATGAGACTGGAACACGGCTGTCTCTGGGCAGGTAACTTAGTAAGGACTGTCTCTTGGTGAGCATTTTAGAAAGTTTGTCAGTATCAAATTTATTTATTTGCTTCTTTTTAAAGAAAGCTTTTGTTACTTAGCATTCTTAGTCTTATGCAGTACACAGATCTATGGTGCTTGCTGAATGTGATGTAAGAGTGAAGAAATACTGGTTATGCCTCAGACATCTTAATACTTAAACGGTGTGTCTTAAGTTTGTAGTGTAGGTATCTTCTCTTTTCGTGATACTATATGGACAAGTGTCTTGAAGCTTTTGAGAATCCAGGTGAAATGTTTGTATCCTTCAGTGATATTCAACATAGTTGCTGTAGAATTGTTTTAAAATTGTCGTTTCTCAAGTATACTTGTTTCATCATTGCAAAATGTTAATTATTCTGTTCCAAGATAGTGAGAGTGGCAAGGAGAGACATACTCTTTCACTTTAAAAGGGGAGGGAGGTGCTGCGAGCTCCGTTTTCTAACGCAGGGCTGCATTAATCTTTGTTTTTAATCTTTGTAACACTCTGTGATATCTTAAGTGACCCATTGTTAATCGGTGGCTTGCAGCTTTGTATACCAGATGGTTCTGACTCCTGCTGAAGTAACTAGATAGTCTGTAATACTCTGCTTGGTTTCTAATATGTATTTCTGCTTTTCCACACCTCATCATTTTTTTCTTGTAAGCTGGGGCTATAATACAGATGGGGAGGCACTATGCAGTACTTTCCAGTGAAAACTCAATTTCTAATCTCATTGAACTCGGAATGAGTTTGACTTTGTGACAATCATGCTATTTTATTTTCTTGCTGTGTAAGGTAGTTCTGGTTTTTTTAATATTATTATATATCTTTTTGTTTACCTTAAGCTGTTTGGTGTTTGAAGTGTTCCTTAAATACTGCTTTCTCTGGCTGTGTAGAAAAAGGAAATTGAGTTAGACTTATGTTGCTGTATATTAAGAGTATATTTAAACAAGAATTTATGTACTTTACCAAGATTTACTAAACCTGTAGTCCTTTGAGTTCCCCCTGTCGCAGTTTCTCTGGAGCGGATTTTTGACACTTGGTCAGCTGAAGACAGTCTTTGTTTAATGTATCTGATAGTATACTAAGATGGTTGTACTCTGAGTAATTTAGAAGCTAGAAAGACCCATAGTGTATTTTCCATTTGAAAAATGAATTGGTAGCTCAGAAAAACCCAAACAAAACCAATGAGACCGACTAATCGGATTACTTTAACTGGAAGAACTGACATAATTTGTAGGTTGTTCTGTTTGAGAGGTGTATTCAGTTAACTTCTCTTCAAAGGAATGAGTTGGATGTATTTAATACTATCACGTAAGAAGCTAACGACTCCTTGCTGTATAAGCACAGAAGTGAGATATTAACAAAACTGCCTTTAAATGTAGATGCTTTTTCGCCTGCTTTTGTTGTGTGTCCAGCAGGTGTCTGTCTCACCCCATTTCATGTATTCACTGTCACTGATTCCCTTGGGAAGCAGCATTGGCTTTTTTTTTTTTTTGCTAAGGTTTACAGCAGAATGGCTTTATAGTACAGGCATCAGGAAAGCCTTCACTGTGGCTCCTTTGTGAGCAGGTTTAGAAGGTGGAATATTTGGAAGTTACTACCAATCACCTGCTGTTCTCTTTCTGTTTGTCCTCTTGGACATACTTGAGTCATGAAATCAAGGCTGATGTAAGGTTTCTGTGGTCCTTACTGATAAGAAGGGAGTTGGTGTGTAGAAGTGACTTGGTTTGTAGGTAAATTGGTTTTCAGCCCCAGATCTTCTGTACTCTTATGGCTGAAAAATCAGTGTGCCCCAGTAGATTTTTTTTCAGAAATTTAGGCTGAAGCACTGTGATGACCACCCTCATTCCTGTAGCTTGAGAACTACTGGGCGAATGCCCTAGGAGTCTGTGGGGGAGTATGAGGGTCTAGTACTGTTCATCTGCCTTAGTCTTCTGAAAGAGCTTTCCTCCTCCTCCTCGTGCTCTGCACTGAGGGGTGAAACACTTGGCCCTGTCTGAGGTCTTCCCTGTTTTCCGCATTCACTGTTCAGTTGCTAGAAAGTGATAGCTTGTATAAAATGAACTCTTAATGCTGTCTCAACTTCTTACTGGTTTAATATGAAATCCATGTGTATTGGCAGCCCTGCTCTAATGAGACTCTTTCCAGGAGATTGGGTTATGCCATAAAATAGAGATCCTCTTTTTTTCCTTCTCTGCAGCTGGTTTAGTGGCTTGAGTCTTTTGAGTTCTGCTGGTGTGGCTGGACAAAAAATGTGAAGGAGTTAGATTGTGGAGAGATCTTAAACTTTGTTCAGAAAGTTGGACGCAAACGTGCTGGAAAGATTGACGTACCCACAGATCAGTTCCTACTCTTATGTATCTGCCATGCCATGCCTTTTTCCTGTGCCCCCAAACTTTCTTGCTAATCTCATCACTTCCTTAGAGGAGGTTGCAATGGGAGACTTGACAAATAGGTTTTGGAAAAGAATACTTCATCTTCTCAAAATTTGGAGGAATGACTCTTGAATTGAGGTCTTCTCTCATTAACAGTGACTTTAAACATCCCACCTCTTATCTGTCTAGTTCTGTACACAGTGTGCCTGCTGTATTGAGGTGTGCTGGAGACCAGCCTGCATGCATGGTCTCTGCTGGAGTTTCCAGCAGCTTGTGTTAAACTTTTTTGGTATCGATCTGAGACTTTGCTCGTCTCCATGCCTGTAGTCCATCCTCTGGTCTTTCTGGATGCTTGCACAGCTGTTGATCTCATCCTTTTGCTGCTTCATGTGCTCAGTGACATCTGTACCCAGCAAGTTCATGTGACCTTATTACCTGTTGTTTCTGTATGTAGTTGAGTCTCATTTCTTCCTTTTGTTTTCTCCCTTTGTTCCTTTTGTCCCTTGGCGTGGACACGCAACTTTCATCAGACAAAGGCGATGACAGAAATGCAGGGGAGTCTGCTGGAGTCAAATGAGGTACTGATCCTTTATATCTAACTGGTAATACCTGTGTTTTAATATGAGCCCCTTCTGAAATCGAGGTCTGGATATTAAGTCACAAAAACAGAGAATGCAAGTAGATTCAATATGGAGCTTTTCTGTCCATGCCTGTTGTCTAACTGTGCACCATATAGGACCCTTCATAGTTAGTACACTTGCTGCTAATTGAGCTGAATTCAAACCTAATCATAAACGCTTCTATCATGAGTGTCTTTATTTTTTGCTGTTGCTGCTGGTTTTCCATATCTCGCTGTCTGCTTTGGCCCCCTTTCCGTTAGTAGCTTGTTCTTAATTTGACAGCCTTTCCAAGACCCTCAAGTGCAGCAGTGCCTTCAAGAAGCTCTGAGTGACGAGATCAGAGCGCTATTGAGAGCTGCCAACACACATAAATGCTTCCAAAGATGATTCAGAATAAGCAATTTGTACGGTATGTCTAGGACTGTCTGTGACCTAAGTGATAGAAGAGGATGAGGAGAATATGCCAAGTCTTTTATTGGTGTTTTTAAATTAGCTTTAATTACTTTGGATAAAGAAATTATCTGCTTACGTGTAGAATTGGCTATTTGTTGGTTTAATGGTTAAACCAAAGTTAAGTTGTGGAAATACAATGTTTTTGGTAGACTATAGTGTTTCTTTTTTAAACAGTAACAATGTAGGGAAGGAAACGCACAGAATTGCTGTATAAATCCACTGATACTACCTCTCACAAAAGAGAATGTTGTATGACTACCAGTAAGTTGAAAATACAATCTCAGTACCCTGCAGTGATCAAAACTGTAGATAAAATGTTTAGTAAGAAAGGAATCAAAGCCATAACAAAAGGTATTGTGTGCTGGTTTACAAATCCTTGGTGTACTTGCCTTGCGTAGTGCCATGTCAGGCTGAGATGTGGAGTGACTGTTCTCTGAAAAACAGCTGCTTGGCCCAAGTTCCTGAGTTTGGAAAAGAGATCTCCAAGGGAAGGGTGTGCGATTCAAATCTATGAAATCGGTAGTGGGATGGGGACCAGTTGTTACACGGAGTACATCCCGGTGAAATACGTTTGAAATAAAGCAGCATGGAGGGGTATTTCTCATTGTGCTTAGTTAAATTGCAGTGTCCTCCACTGCAGGACATGGCGGAGGCCAAACATACAGCTGGGCGGGGAAAGGGGTAATGAGGTTGGTGGGGGAGAAGGCTCTTCGTGGCTCTGGACGTTACAGTGCTTGCAGCTGCCTCGAGGAATCCATGCAAGCAGCTTCAGCCTTTTGGCTGCAGGCCTCTGTATCTGTTGGCCGCCTCATGAAGCATCCGCACGTGGTACCTAAAAGGTACAGGGCTTAGTTGCACAATGTGTTGGCTTTGAAAGTCAGCGTGTTCTGTAATTGCGCCACAAGAAAAGTAAGTTAGAGTCAGGAGGATTAAGCTTGCACATGGCACTTCTATAGGAAAAACAAGCAAACTGATAATTGCTGTGCCAGAAGTTAGGGGCTTGTAGGAAAAGAAAGCATTGTATGTTGTCGTGTTTCCAAAAAACATGATGACTGGGGCTTGTGGTAGGCAGAGTCCTGGACTAGATGAACCCTTGGTCTGATCCAGTGTGGTCAGTTTTAGATATTGTAGGTGCCAAAAACAGACTTGGCACATGGAAATGTTATTTGTAGAAAATAGGGAAAATAATTACTTTAAAAACAATTGGTTCTTCATGTGTTCAGTGTGTAATAATTAAAAATACTCAAATGTGCTGAATAGTAGCGTTTTATGGTGTTGGACATAACTCTTTGGTGCGTACCTTGCTCCTCGAGGCTCTGGTTTCACACTGTGAATGCACTGGGAACCGGCCAGCTGTGAGAACGTTGTATCATGGCAAAGGTGTCGAGAGTCACATTTTTCAGTGTAATTGCTGAGGCTGGTTCTCTGTGTTAGCATTAGCGTTCTAGCTTCCTCAGTGACATTGTGTTTGAGCTGTTTATGCCTCATTTGCTGTTTGTTGTTGCTAATGCAAACCAATAAGGGATTCTTACTGTCTCCCTTGTTCTAAATATTTATACAGGGCTAGGCAAATGAGAAAGTGTGAAGTTGAGCAAAACAAAGATGGGTTACCAAGTGAGTATTTCAAAAGAAGGAAATGAATTGCTAGAATCTGAAGATTTCTCAGGATAGGAAGTGAGAAGAGAAACACTAGAAAATGAGGTTCTGTATTGGCTTGGTGATAGTCAGTTTGGTCAGATAAGCCTAAACGTGTTCCTCTAGAGGAACTCCAGAGCTTCCCTGAATTACCTCGGAAATCCAAAATACTTTTGTTTCCTTGAGCGCTTATTTGATTACCTGTATGTGGTTCTGGTGTCTGCACAAGTGGTATAACTCAATTCCTAACAATTCCTGCACCATCTTTTAACTTGAATCAGTCAAGGTAATCATCGGTTTGGAAGTGCATTTGGAGGTGATCGCATATGCTGTGGTGGTAAGAGTGCAACTGCAGACGAAAAGGTTTCTTTGGTGATTTTCCTTACTCATGAAGAAACACTCATTTCAGGCTCATGCTGAGGACTCTGTAATGGATCATCACTTCCGCAAGCCAGCAAATGATATTACATCCCAGCTGGAGATCAACTTTGGAGACCTCGGCCGCCCCGGACGTGGTGGCAGAGGGGGACGAGGTGGCCGAGGGCGTGGTGGCCGGGCCAGCCGTGGAGGCAGGACTGACAAGGTAAGTAGGTACAGCTTTCATCTACAAAGGAGTTTAGCTTCAGCTGTTACTAGGATTTTCAGATAGGTGTCTTCCTTATTTCTGGGGGAGTTGCTCTGACAACAAACACTGCATTTTAAAATCAAGTAAAGTTCCATTCTTAGAAGTTTAAAGTAAACTAGGTTACTGTTAGGACAAAAGGCTGAATGTTTTGATAGTATTCTTACTAAACACAAAAGACGGAGCGTGGGGAGTAGGTTTGGTTTCAAAAAAAAAAAGTGCCTGTCTTTGTGGTGGTAAATGACTCTTCAGTATGGACAGATCTGAATGTACCGTGAGACGCTTCTGTTTGTGCCAGAGCAGAACCACAAGTTCTAGAGTGATTATCTTCAGACACAGCCAGGACAGTGTATCTGCATTGTGGCCTGTTGGGAGTGAAAGACTGGTTTTACGGCTGCATGTTGTATCTTGAATCTGAGGAATTTAGAGTTTTCATGTGGAAATAGGACTCTTACTGAGTTGTTTTTTTCCTGATCTGCAGTAATTTTTTTTCCTCCTATAATCCTAAAGCCCTAAGGAAATACTCAGGACTAAGTACTGAATGGAGGTTGGGAAGGGAACGTGTAAAGCTGAAGTTCCATAATATAGCTACAGTAGATACAGTTTAATATGGGTTGCTTATTCGGCTTAAATGCATCTAATCAAATTGTTACTCCCTAGAAAATGAGTTCAGTCTGTATGGTATGGCTTTCTTCACGTAGACCAGACTTGCTCATTTTTGTCTCTTCTAGGACGCTGACTTGGTTTTCTCTTTTACACAGAGGACTAAGTTTTAGGTTCATTAGTTAGAAAACTCTCTCCTGATAGCAATATCAGAAGATTTTAAAGAATTGAAGTTAAATGGTGGCGGTATTTGCTCTGAGTTGTTTCACTAGTAAGGCATCTTGCTTCTTCATAAAGTAGTTATAAAACTTTTCTGCAGCTTATTTTATGTTGACTTCTGTTTATTTCTTTCCAGTTGGTTAAGGAGTTTGATGTGATCCACACACCCAACCAGGTTGGTGATCTCTGCTGGCACTTGTGTTACCTGTGAACAAGGCCCTCCTGTTGCAGGGACTGTAACTCCCCTCCTTTAGTGTTTGGTTGTTTTGCCTTGCTTTCTGCTTTTGTGTAGTGAGCAACTGGAGATACTGTAAGGCTTAAGAACCCTGCCTGCTATTACTTTCTAACTCTAGTTTGTGAGCAGAGTGCTTCTGCAGTGTCTTAGTCTTGCCTGTAGGTGTTGATACAAGTTTTATTGAGATGGTTTAAAGTATATCTCTTGATAAATGAATATGGTTACAGGAAATTCCACTATCCTGGCTCTTCTTCTGTTCCACATCCCTCATGGACAAAGTGAAGAGTATTCTGAATTGCTTAATTTCTGGATTTCATTGCAGCACTGGTGTTTCAGTGTGGTACAGAGCCTTTTAAAAGAGTGTTGGGAAGCACTGAGGAGATTCTTGCTTAACGTATGAATTTGTAGGGCTAGGTTGGCACAAAAATTCTTTTTATCAACAGCTAGTTTGTGACTGGGGAAAAATCAAACATGGGAAACTTAATTTGTGCTACAGGCAGGCCTTTTCTGTAATACTTCAGTCCTGTCCACCGTAAAAATGGGTGGTTATG